TCACTTGCCTTCTTTTGGAGGTTTATCTGTGTCCTCAAGGTCACCTGAGTAGTGCAAACAGGTGTGGAACTGCTGAAAGGACTGTGTTGTAGAGTGGAGATAGTCAGTGTCATATCCCTCCCCTTCTATTGAGAGAGGACTGATCAGTTTTAACCTCTTTGACTCCTCTTTCAAACTAGCGGTCCTCCCTGTCCAAAATGTGGACTTTGCTCTCTTCGAAAGAGCCGCTTTTGCCTTTTAAATGCAGATCATGATGTGCTGAATCTTGTCCTGATGGGTTTGTTCTCCTATGTTGTGCCAGGCCTTTACGAAGTGGTTGTTTCGTTTCCCCAATGTACAGATCTGCATGTGTGTCACTGATTGCGCTGCATACACCACATTGCTCAGTTTGTGTCTGGCTGTTTTCTCCTTGGGGTTGAACAAGCTTCTGCCTTACTAAGTTCTTCATATGTTTCAGTCTCCCTTTAATCTTCTTAGTTTCCCTTCTCTGCACTTTTTCCAAAGTCTCAACATATGTTTTGTAACGTGGTGACCAAACTGGATGCAGTATTCCAGGCGTGGCCTTAATAAGGCTTTATGAAGCGGTACTAATACTCCGCGTGATTTTGATTCTATGCCTCTGTTTATGCAACCGAGGATTGTATTTCTCTTTGCTTGATATCACCTTGATAAGCTTCCATCTGCTACCTCTTGTCCTCTCCTCAAGTGCTTTGGACAATAAACCAAATCCCCTCTTCCTCTGTGACGGCCTCTCAAATATTGGAAGATGCTGTCATATCTCCCTTAGTCCTTCTCTTCATTAGACTAGACATGTGCCATTCCCTCAGTTGTTCATCATACAGTGCCATCTGGAAATCAAAGGTTGTAAAATTGGGCATGACTCATTTAAATTCCCATGGCTCAGCAACCGATGTTTCAATCACAGTTTTGGCCATGAAGTCAAGGATTATGTAAGGACCCACCCCACTTTGCATCTTAAGAAGACAGAACTTTTGGAATATTTCTTCCAACAGGCGTCTTTATTAAGAGAAAATGGTTGCAGGCGTTCTAGACAGGACTTGGGGGCCAAGCCCTACGGTTCAAGGTTTTAAGGGGTTCCCAGCAACGCCACCCCACCCCACCATCCTTCCAGTGACAATCCCAGGCATTACATTTCCACCCCCTTTTTCCTCACTGCCGCGGAAGGGAGACTTCAGAGGGGGGTAGATGAAAGCTGATGGCCCCATTGTTATGGTTAGTCCTTTTGGTGGGATCCACATCCAGTCCCTTTTGAAGTTGTACTGAAGGAAGTGAGGGCCATAAAGCCCCTTTGTTCACCCCCCTTCCCTTCATCGTATGACAGAATCCAGAGAGGGCAGAAGTGGGGTTTTCCATAGTCGATAACTAGAGATGAAATATAATTGGATTCTGACAGATTAGCTGAATGTATTTTATCACCCTGTTCACCTACTATTTAACAGTTAAAGAAAAAAAGAAACAGTCTGGGAAGTTATATCATAAATGAAACCTTTCCAACTAATGTGATCCACATTGCCCTCTTGAACTGAGGCGGTGGCAGCAAAATAAAATGTGGTTTTATAGACAAGCATTTAAAAAGCTTTTACACTCAAGGTTTAGACTTGTGAGTCAGCTACCTGAATGCAACTCCTTTGATTAAATCACCTAAGTGTGCAAGGTTAATCTTTTGTAATAAAAAAAACTGGCTCAGGTCATCTTCAAGAATTTATTTTGTATCCAGGCCTCTTCAGAGACTTCGTCCGTTCTATGAGAGATGTGTATAAAAAAGGACATAAGGAACTATAATTACTTAAAAATGAATCCAGAATAACTGGAGTTAAATTTTCCCTGGACTAGCTAAATGAAATTGGGGGGACGTTTAAAAGTAGCTTCTCTGTAGCAGTTGACGTTCACGCATCTCTTAAGTTGCCAAAGTTTGTAAAACACTGCTCCATAGGAATATTAATCAGAATATAGCTGGAAGGGACCTTGGAGGTCTTCTAGTCCAACCCCTTCCTCAAGCAGGAGATCCTACCATTTCAAAAGACCCTACCAGTCTTTTCTTAAAAACTTCCAGTGATGAAGCACCCCTGGGCTAGACATACCCACGTCCCTTAATTGTTCATTACATGGTTTAGCTTCCAGACCCCTGAGTGTCTTTGTTGCTGTTTAGCCTGAACAATTTCAATTCGGCAGATTTATTTCTTTTGTATGTGTGCATGTGTGTGTGTGTGTGTGTGAGTGTGCATGGGTTACAACAAGTCGCTCCAGAGTCTTGTTGACCATCTGGGCAAGTCCCGGCTGTTCTCTTGGCAACGTTTTTCAAGCGTGGTTGGCCTTCCTTCCTTCTTCCTAAGGCCTAGACCTAGAGAGAGAGGGTAACGGGCCCAAGGTCACCCAGCTGGCATTTTGGCTAAGCCAGGGGTAGGCCACCTTGGCTCTTTTATGACTCGTGGACAGCTGGCTCAGGAATTCTGGGAGTTGAAGTCCACGAGTCATAAGGTGACCAACTTTTTTACAGTGAAAAGGAGGACACAAATAAATTGAAGAAAAAAAATACCGTAAATTAAAAAAAAAACCGTTTTATTCATTGCAACAATAATACAGACAACTTGCATGTACAAAGTTTGCCAGCCGGGTGTTTTGGAGCGCTCAGCAGCAATTCCTATCGGCTTTTGAAAGCCAATAGGGGGAGTAGCACAGCTCAGGCAAAAGTTGAAAAAACACCATCAAAAAAAGATGCCGGAACGCCGTTCTGAGCGTTCTATGAGAAAAAAAAAAGTCCTGCAGATTAGTCTTCAAATATCGAAAAGGAGGATATGTAGGAGGACACTTTTCGAGGGAGGACAGAACTCACAAAAGGAGGACTGTCCTCCCTAAAGGAGGACGGTTGGTCACTTTACGAGTCATAAAAGAGCCAAGGTTGTCTACCCCTGGCCTAAGCCAACACTAGAACTCGGTGGCCTCCCGGTTACTAGCCTTGCGCCTTCACACCTGCACCAAACTGGTCCCTGCCAATTTAAATGCATCACTCTCTTCTGTTCTGCTTCTTCCCCTGATTAAAAGTCTGCTAAATATTAAAATCTGCTGCCAGGCTGGATTCGACCTGCCCTCCCGTCCATGTTTCTGCCCTGTTTGAAAAGTGTGCCAGGGCAACAGTGCCCCCTTCTGGCAGCTCCTCGGCAGTTGATATCCGGCACACAGCATGGATCAGGCTGAACGAAAGCCCTGCATTTTCTCATTGACTCAGTTCTGCCAAAGAGAAAGTGCTTCAAGGGCTGTGTTTCTCAAACAGGGCCGGTGGACTTCAACTCCCAGAGTTCCCCAGCCAGCATGCTAATCAAATCCCATCTTGCTTAGCTTAGGCGGGGGGGTTGGACTAGATGATCTACAAGGTCCCTTCCATCACTGTTATTCTGTTTTTTTTTTTTTTTAAGATTAGCCAGGATCAGTTAGAGCAGTGGTTCTCAATCTTTTTAATGCCGTGACCCCCAACTGGTCGTAAGTCGAGGACTACTCAACTGGTATAGCACCGTTTGCAGAATGGGACTTTTGGCGGGCTCAGCAGGGCAGAGACAGCCTGGACAATTCCTGTTGGGTTTGGAAAGTCAATAGAATTAGACTCTATTCAAGAGAGTCTCTTCTATTGGCTTTCAAAAGCCAATAGAATAAAAGGGAGGAGCACAGCTAAGGAAAAGGGGGAAAAATGGCGGACTGTGTTGTTTGGCGACCCCCGTGAAATGGTCGTTCGACCCCAAATGGGGTCCCGACCCACAGGTTGAGAACCGCTGAGCTAGAGGTTGCCACCAGCCGTAGATGTTGTGAGAACAAAATTTGACCATTTCTTGTTCAAAAAAAAGTTGTTCTGGAGATGGCAAGCTGAATTATATTTCTAAAGTTTAAACAGCCTCAAAAAGTATTTGACTTCACTGTCAGATCAAATCAGGGAAACATTGCTAGAGGTTTTCAAAAATAGCATGGGCTTTAGCTGAGAAAATCAATAAAAGATCTGCGAAATTGTTTTTAAGTCTTTCATTAATACCACTTTACAAGGCCTTGGTAAGGCCACACTTGGAGTACTGCATCCAGTTTTGGTCACCGCAATATAAAAAAGATGTTGAGACTCTTGAAAGAGTGCAGAGAAGAGCAACAAAGATGATCAGGGGACTGGAGGCTAAAACATACAAGGAACGGTTGCTGGAATTGGGTATGTCTAGTTTAATGAAGAGAAGGACGAGGGGGGACATGATAGCAGTGTTCCAATCTCTCAGGGGTTGCCCCAAAGAAGAGGGAGTCAAGCTATTCTCCAAAGCGCCTGAAGGCAGGACAAGAAGCAATGGGTGGAAACTAAGCAAGGAGAGAAGCAACCTGGAACTAAGGAGAAATTCCTGACAGTTAGAACAATAAACCAGTGGAACTCCTTGCCTCCAGAAGCTGTGAATGCTCCAACCCTGGAAGTTTTTAAGAAGAGACTGGATGGCCACTTGTCTGAAATGGTATAGGATCTCCTGCCTGAGCAGGGGGTTGGACTAGAAGACCTCCAGGGTTCCTTCCAGCTCTGTTCTGATTGATTGATGGATTGGTTATATTTGCCCAGCAAATAAAGCAACTGGCGGCTTCACAAACCATGTGTCAAAACAAAGGCTCTCTTCCCACAATACCTGACACCCAGCCCCGTTAACAATTAATCAGTGGGGCATCTTCCCTCCAGAAGTTATGGGTACTCCATCACTGGAAGTCATCAAAAAGTGCGTGCACACCCACTTGACTGGGATGGTATAAGGTCCACTGCCTTGAGCCGGGGGGGTGGGGGTGGACTAGATGTCCTCCAGGAGACTTTTCTACTTGTTATTCTGCTTATTTTGCTCAGATTTTACTGGCTGTTTTTGGCTCAGAGGTGCCAAAGGGGACCCTGTCCCAAAACGGTTCCGGGTGAACGGATGCCAGAATGCTCCCCCCCCCGCCCCCAAAGTTCTACCATCTTGTCTTTCTTTCTGTTGCAGCTCAAGGTCTGGATCTACCCAGAGGGAACACGGAACATGAACGGGGACCTTTTGCCATTCAAGAAGGGCGCTTTTCACCTCGCAGTCCAGACCCAGGTGATTGACGCTTCTTTGCAGAGTGACTTGCCCCCCCACCCACCCACTGGTTGATTGACTGGTTATTTATAGCCCATACCCCAGAAGGTAACTTTAGGACATTGTCAGAATCCAATTCTATTTCATCTCTAGTTATCGACTACGGAAAACCCCGTTTCTGCCCTCTCTGGATTCTGTCATACTACGAAGGGGAAGGGGGATGAGCAAAGGGGTTTTATGGCTCTCACTTCCTTCATTAGAACTTCAAATCCGCTGAATGTGGATCTCACCAAGAGGACTGACCATAACAATATGGCCATCACCTTTCATCTACTACTCTCTGAAGTCTCCCTTCTGCCTGCAGTGAGGAAAAGGGGGTGGAAATGTAACGCCTGGGATTGTCGCTGGAAGGACGGTGGGGTTGCTTGGGACCCCTTAAAACCTTGAATGGTAGGGGTTGGCCCCTCAAATCCTGTCTAGAACGCCTGCAACCATCTTCTCTTAATAAACATGCCTGTTGGAAGAGATATCCCAAGTGCTCTGTCTTCTTAAGATGTAAAGTGGGGTGGGTCCTTACAGACATTGCAAAGAACACGATTGAATGAAGAGTTATTTCAACCGAAACGCAACGATATTAGGAACGAGCTCATTCTGCACACACAACAGGCTCAAACTGTTCGACACTTTTCATGTTATGTTATGCAAGGTTACCCCTGGCCCGTTCTTGTGCAAACTTTTTTTTTCCTGAACTCTTGACTCTGGTTACGTTCTGTTTTGGCTGACTTCCTCCTGCAGCTCTCCAAGTTCCTCTTCTGTGCAAAATTTCTCCTTTTTTGAATAACACACCACAGCAAGAAACACTTTAACGTTCTGACTTCAGTCCTGATAGAACGAAGTTTTCACTATTGTGTAGTGTAAAAAATGAAGGATAAGTCACCCTGGGGGCAGAAAAATAGGGATCGTTGTAAATTCAAGCATTTCCATGTTTTTGCTAACTTTTATATATATATATATATCTGTCCTTTGCAGGTTCCAATCATTCCTGTGGTCTATTCCTCCTTTTCTTCATTTTACAACCCGGAAAAGAATACGTTTACATCAGGTAGGATAATCATGCAGGGTTCTCAACCTTGGCAATTTTAAGACTTGTGGATTTCAACTCCCAGAATTCCTCAAAGCTGGCTGAGGAATTCTGGGAGTTGAAGTCCACCAGTCTTAAAGTTGGCAAGGTTGAGGACCCCTGGGATAATACGTAGCTTGGAGAATGTTGTTCTGTTTCTCTTAATTGTCCTTGGAGATCCGAATTCTCTTGCATGACTAAACGGAATCCAGGTTTCTGGCTTTGTGAGCATGCTCAGTTTCACTCTTTCAATCCTCTGCCTGCGGATATGCGTAGCTTCAGAGGAGCATCCCTTCCTTCCCGCTTACTTAATAGGGCTTGTCAAGAAACACATCAGATCTCCTGACTGGCCACCAAATCCCCTGGAAGATCAGGAGGCCATTTTTCACGCGGTCCTGGTTTCACCACCTTTGGGCCAGTTCTCAACTTCCCGAAGTCCGTTTCTCTAGAACAGGGGAAGGCCACCTTGGTTCTTTGATGACTCCTGGACTTCAACTCCCAGAATTCCTGAGCCAGCCATGCTGAGGAGAAGGGAGAGGTTTCTAAGCTGAGCCATGCTGGCTCAGGAATTCTGGGAGTTGAAGTCCACGAGTCATAAAAGAGCCAAGGTTGCCTACCCCTGCCCTAGAGAAACAGATTCCCCAAAGGCAGGTGTAGGCAACCTTGGCTCTTTTATGACTTGTGGACTTCAACTCCCAGAATTCCTGAGCCAGCATGAGGGAAACTTTGGCCCCTTCATGACTTGTGGACTTCAACTCCCGAATTCCTGAGCCAGCAGGAACCACGGCTGAGTTGCCACAGGACAAGAGTTACACTAATACCGAAGAAATCGTGGCACAGAATCGTTCAAGAAAGGGTGCCAAAGAATGGACAAAAGTGAAATGCAAATGACCAGAATTAATTAAAATAAATCTCTTCGTTATTTTAAGTAATTAAGTTGAGTCGTTGAATTGCCCTCCAGTGACTTGTCTGTGGTGAGTTGTTCCATTGCAAATTGGCTGTGATGAGTTGTCCAGTTCTGCTGTGAGAAGCCAAAAGAAGAGTGAGGGGGAATTAATCGGGAGAAACATAAGGAAAGAGGCAGGGTTGGGTGGTTGGACCATGTGTTGGGCGAGCGGAGGAGCTGTTTTCTCGCTTCGCAACTACTTGGAGAATTGGCTGGACCAACCAACGGAGCTTCCTGCTCTAAACGGGTGGGCTGGAGCTGGAGGACCAGGGGCCGTAGAGACGATGTTGGCACTCTTTTTTCCCTCCCCCAGGCAAAATCCAGGTGGAGATCTTTCCGCCCATCTCAACAAAGGACCTGACCTCCGAGGATGTTGATGAGCTCACCATGCAGTGCTACACCACCATGAGGGAGAACTTCCGCAGGTTGTCGGGAAAGAGCCGAGAAACCAATGGAGAAGCCTCCACCCTTGGGCAGTAGGGTCTCTTGCCAAAATGGCTGCGGGCTTCACCTGTTGGACAGATTCCCTCAGATTCCCTTGCTTGATGTTATGGGGAAGCGTGTAGGTTGCTCCTAAAGAAGTGAGTGAGGGGAGGAAGAAATTCAACCGGTGGACGTGCTCAAATCTCTCACGTGGAGGAACCTCCGCTGGCCTTCCTTTCTCCACCTACCTCTCCACAAACAGCCCTCACCAAAGACTCCTGCCCTTCCCAGTGTCCACAACCAGCAGTTTAAACAACCCAAGTGCCTTTTCTGTCTCCTGGGGACTCCAGGGATTGGGTTCATGGCTTCCTCCTTGCCCCCTGGAGTAATTCTTCTTCCCTTCCTTGGGCACAGGGATAATTTGGGCGCGCGGGCCCAGAGCCTTGCCCACTTGACCCTTTTTCCTAAGGAAGGTGGGCTCAGGCCCCACTATTTGATGCAGTTTCGTGGGTTGAGAGGGGCAACGCTCCCGTACCAGTAATGACCCTTGTCCAGAAGAGGCGATGCTGGGTGTTTGCTGTCCCGAGGCTGCATCTCTCCCTGTTGGAGGCCAGGTGTGAAAGTAAGCTCCCACAGGTAAGCTGGGGAGAAGGACCACATTTGCTGTTACGGTCACCAAGCAAATCCCATCCTTTACCTAGGCTCAAATCGATGGTCAGCTTCAGCAACTTCAAGACGTGTGGACTTCAACTCCCAGAATTCTCCAGTCAACTGTGCTAGGGAAGGGTGGGTGAGGAATTCTGGGCGTTGAAGTCCCTACACATCCTCCAGTTGCTGAGGTTGAGAAATGTGGCCCTCCTGGTTTTTTTCCCCACATTGGCAGGAGAGTTTAGCATTCACATGGGTGTCAGAATGGCTAATACGGAGATTCTTATGAATCTTCTGAAGCGTTTGAGGCTGTCTTGTATAAAACAGCTGCTATCCTCTCTCCTCCCCACTTTAAATGATGCCGAAGAATAAGGAAGCTTTCTTATTTATTTGGGACAAAGTTTTTTTTCCCCCCATTTTCTTTGAAGATAACGTTGCAAGAATAGATATTTCAAGGATTTTAGTCACCAAAAGTTGCCTCACGTGGTTTGGGTGCCGGGAGCGCAAAGCAGACGTACTAACTTGGACATTCTGAGATCTCGTGATGGTGAAAGAGAAGAGCTGGCAGGGCTGATGGTAAAAATACTTTTGCTGGATTTCGAAACAGTGACGAACGTGTAAAGAGATTTGATTAAACTTGCCTAGTGCCATAGTGTTTGGATTTGCCCATCACCAAAGCACGTCCATTTTATTTTTATTTTTGTAAGAGCGGAGGGCCACAAGGCTGCTAGCGAGGTTTCACGAATTCCGTTGCCCTCAGCGGAGTTGTGAGTCCAACTGCCGCTGTGATGGGGCAGAGATTTCCAGAAGTGTTGGAGTAAACTCTTAAATAAGAGAATCCAAAGTACTTTCAGACAGCTCATAGTGTTCGCTTGGAGTTGTGATGGAGAACTTGCGATTTGTCCAACATTCCCTGCACGTTGGGCTGCTGCCCTACTAAACCATGGTTGCTCGGCCCAAGCCTTGATGCCGATCCCAGCCATTGTCATCCAAACCAGCCAATGAAGCCACTGCCTGTTGGTTGACAACGGTGCTTCCTTCAGTGTCCAAGTTGAAGAAAGACAAATCCGCACTTAGTCTGCCATCTTGCAAAGCTTCCAGCGAGGCCCTCCAGCCCCAGGGAGAGACTCAGAGTATTTCTTTGCTTGAGGGTGGAGCAAGTTGGGACCCTGAACTGGACAGTGGGCTAAATCAGGGGTCCCCAACCTTGGCGACTTTAAGACTTGCGGACTTCAACTCCCAGAATTCTGGGAGTTGAAGTCCGCAAAGTCGCCAAAGTTGGGGAACCCTGGGCTAGATGATCTTGCAAAAAGTCAGTTGCATTCCCTTGGCTCCATCCCATCCGCTGTGGCCCTGCACTCATCCCCATGGATCATTCCTCGAAACAAAAGGGGGTCAGGAGTGGGACTGGGCACAACTTGGCTTCTTTTATCTGGAGTCTCCAGAGGAGAGGTTCTCAATCTTGCAATTTCAAAGATGGGTGGACGTCAACTTCCAGAATTCCCCAGCCAGTTAGGGCAGAGGTCACTAACCTTTCTCGGTTGGTGGACCGGAGGGAACAGGAGGAAGAAGTGTTTGACACGCGTGATGCAAACAGGGCGGGGCTAGCACTAGTGTGATACTTGCGGCACAGTGCTCCGTTTCCACCCATTTTTGTGCCCCGCGGCACGGCATCAGCCCGTTTTTACACCTCACGGTGCAGCGGTGTCCTGTTTTCATACCCCATGGCGCGGTGGCACCCTGTTTTTGCACCCCAAGGTGCAGTGGTGTTTTCATGCTCCGCGGCGCTAGCATGAGTGAGGGTGTATGTGCGCACACGTGCACGCACTGGTCAGCCTCTCCCACGGCCTGGTGGCCAGCAAGCCACAGCCCACTGGTTGGGGACCCATAAGGAATTCTGGGAGTTGAAGTCCACCTATCTTAAAAGTCACCAAGGTTGAAAAAAGACCACTCCAGACAGCCCAATGTCCACGATCTCTCCGCTCCATCAAAGTAGGCCTCCTGCACTTGCCGTGTGGATGTGGGAATCACAAGCATAACAGGATGCTGTTCTTGCTGTGCGCCCTACCCCACTCCAACTCTGCAACAAAGCCCATTTCCTACTTAGTTGGGATGAAGTTACCCCTGAAACAGCTCAGCCCCTGCAGGACCCATCGAGCACAACTCCAGCATTCAGACAGTCCTTCGGATCCACCATCGTTTTAAGCCAGCTTCAGCTTTATTTGCAAGGTTTGGGAACATAGTTGTCCTGTCCAAGGCCGTGGCGCCAACTGGAAGGGAAGCCCTTAACCTTAGCCAAAGCGCTCAGCCCCAAACTGAATGGAAACAAAGGGAGAGGATGTGGCTGCTGGGAGTTGTAGTTCCGACAGCTGAAGAATGGTTTCCCCGACCTTTCGAAACCATACCAAAAAAAATGTGTGCCAAAGTGCCTTATTGCAAAACCTTTGATTGCTTTTTGGTATTGTCCAATGTACTATTTTTATAAAGAATTTTATTTAAAAAGAAGCAAGGCTGGTGTGGTTGATTCCTCCCCCAATTTTTGCATGGGGGGGGGGTTGGGGGAGGGGAGGCAGAGGCTCCATAGCCAGGCCTGGGTTAATTTACCTTGTTACATTCATCTCATGTTATGTGTTTAGTGCTAGCTATTCACCTTGATTTTATGGGTTAGAATGCAGTATTGCAGGCTAACTCTGCCCTCAGTCTGGAGTTCGATCCTGACCGGCTCAAAGTTAACTCGGCCTTCTATCCTTCCGAGGTTGGTAAACTGAGGACCCAGAATGTTGGAGGCTAGAGGCTGAATCTGTAAACTGCTTAGGGCTGTAAAGCACTGTGAAGCAGGATATGTCTAAGTGCTATTGCTTTATATCTATCTATCTATCTATCTATCTATCTATCTATCTATCTATCTATCTATCTATCTATCTATCTATCATCTATCTATCTACCTATCTACCTATATCTACCTATCTATCTATCTATCTATCTACCTACCTACCTACCTACATCTATCTATCTATCTATCTATCTATCTATCTATCTATCTACCTACCTCTATCTATCTATCTATCTATCTATCTATCTATCTATCTATCTATCTATCTAATCTATCTATCTATCATCTACCTATCTATCTATCTACCTATATCTACCTATATCTATCTATCTATCTATCTATCTATCTATCTATCTATCTATCTATCTATCTATCTATCTATCTACCTACATCTATCTATCTATCTATCTATCTATCTATCTATCTATCTATCTATATCTATCTATCTATCTATCTATCTATCTATCTATCTACTATCTATCTATCTATCTATCTATCTATCTATCTATCTATCTATCTATCTATCTATCTATCTATCTATCTATCTATCTATCTATCTATCTATCTATCTATCTATCTATCTATCTATCTATCTATCTATCTATCCTACTACCTACTATCTATCTATCTATCTATCTATCTATCTATCTATCTATCTATCTATCTATCTATCTATCTATCTATCTATCTACCTACCTACCTACATCTATCTATCTATCTATCTATCTATCTATCTATCTATCTATCTATCTATCTATCTATCTATCTATCTATCTATCTATCTATCTATCTATCTATCTATCTATCTATCTATCTATCTATCTATCTATCTATCTATCTATCTATCTATCTATCTATCTACCTACCTACCTACCTACCTACATCTATCTATCTATCTATCTATCTATCTATCTATCTATCTATCTATCTATCTATCTATCTATCTATCTATCTATCTATCTACCTACCTACCTACCTCTCCCTCCCTCCCTCCCTCCCTCCCTCCCCCCCTCTCTCTCTCTCCAAGAACTGTGGTAGCATAGTGATTAGAATGCAGTATTGCAGGCTGACTCTGCCCACTGCCAGGAGTTCGATTCTCACCAGCTCAATGTTAACCCAGCCTTCCATCCTTCTGAGGTCGATAAAATGAGGTCCCAGATTGTTGGGGGGGGGGCAAATGCTGACTCTGCAAACTGCTTGGAGGGCACTCTAAAGTACTGCGAAGCAGTATATAAGTCTAAGGACGATTGCTATCACTCAAGCTGGCAAACACACACACAGTACATCTTCATCCTATTTCTCCCACAACAAGCTTGTGAGGTGGACTGGGCTGAGAGAAAGGGACTGGCCCAAAGTCACCCAGGTGGTTTTTGTGCCTAAGGTGGAACTAGAACTCAAGTCTCTCCTGGTCTCTAGGCCAGCACCTTCAGCATTTCACCGAATTGGCTGGATGCTGTTTTTGCTCACCAGTATCTGGTCTCCATGGAAAATCCAGCACGGTCTGGAACGAAGCCACCCAAAGCTTTATCTTGCTATTTCCAAGACCCTCGGAGCAAATGATGCCCGCCCCATTTCAAATTCACTTAGGCACTTCCACTGAGAGGCAATTAAATGACATTTTGCCCCCAGCAAGCCCCGTTTAGCACCTCGCCAGTTTTTGAGGCTGAACAATTCAAGACCCAGCGGCGTTGCAGAACAGTTAAATGAAAGACCATTTTTAGCTCTCCCCATTGTACTGAGATTAAAAGTCCCACTTCTTTAGTTATTTTAGCCAAGAACAGATTTATTGGAAAGCAGCGGCCAGGGGCGAACAGGAACACCCCAGCCCGCCCTGCACTATTTCTATAGTATCCGTTCCAACTTTTGCAGACTTAAGCAAACTCTGAACGTCCTCTTATTCTAGCTGTTTCTTTCCTTATCGGCCATTCAGCTGGTTCCCACCATTCCTAATTGCTTCCTTTTGCTTCCACCCAACCTTATCACAGCCTACCATGTTTTTACTTAGATTCAAAAAACAGAGAGGTCAACAGTTCCCAAAGATCCATTAAGTTCCTAAAGAGGTTACACGCAGGTTACAATAGCTTTTTCCCATACAAAATGGCTCTGGCTTACTCGCAAATCCCTGCCACAATTCAACCCCCCCCCCATTGTGCTGTCCAGTGCACAATGTTGCAGTGACTCCCACCATCCAGACGCTTGGTGTGTGCAGGGATAGCACCGTGTAAGTAAGCATGTGGCCAGAAAAATACATATTCCAGACGAGACAAAAAAAAGCAAAACAATACTGTTGCAAAAAAGGACTTGGGATTATTATCCCCTTCGTTTCTTGGCTGCCTCTGGTACCTTAGCAAAGGCTGAGGCAATTTGATGCACTAATGGCCCAAGTTCCTCCTTTAGGTGCTACTATTTGGCCATGTGGTAGTTTTGGACTCCTGACACTTAAGTACCTGGCTGGGTTGTCTGTCTAGTGCAGGGGTCTTCAAACTTGGCCAATTTAAGACTTGTAGACTTCAACTCCCAGAATTCCTCAGCCAGCGTTGCTGGCTGAGGAATTCTGGGAGTTGAAGTCCACAAGTCTTAAACTGGCCAAGTTTGAAGACCCCTGTTCTAGTGAGAGCAGCTCTGTAGTAGTGAAGTACCATGGGGTGGGGTGGGGACGGCGCCACGAATCACAGTTGAAACGAACGGCAGCTGAATAACCAAATCCAGGCAAGATAAGGGAAGCTTCGTGTGAAATTATACCCCATGAGGGGACACAGGTAGTCCTCAACTTATCACCACAACTGGGCCCACAACTGCCGCTAAGCGAACCATTGGTTAAGTCACTTGGCTCCGCTTTACGACTTTTCTCGCCACACTTCTGAAGCGAAGCCCTGCAGTTGTTAAATGTGTCGTTCTGTGAGCCCAGACTTTGCTTGTCAAAGGGAGATCACGTGACCTCGGGACACTGCGAAACGTCATAAGTACGAGTCAATTGCCAAGCGTCCGAATTTGGATCACACGACCAGAGGGAACGCTACAACGGTGGTTCAAGCGTGGAAATTGGTCATAAGTCACTTTTTTTCGGGGCCGTTTTGTAAACTTTGAACGGTCCCAAAATGGACTGTTGTTGAGGCCCGTAAATTCATCTGTACTTGAATGCTTGTGAGCAGCAGCTGGCTTTGCCTTCTGTAGGGGCAAAACGTACCTTTGCCACAGCCAACCTGCATTTATTGCCTCCCACCTAGAGACCCTAAGAAAGGCTGAGCGCCAAAGAATGGAGGCCTTTGGTGCTGGAGAAGACTCCTGCAAGTCCCCTGGACTGCAAGGCGATCCAACTGGTCAGTCCTAGAGGAGACCAATCCCGACTGCTCTTTAGAAGACCAGATCCTGAAGTTGAAGCTCAGATACTTTGGCCACCTAAGGAGAAGGAAGGACTCACTGGAGAAGAGCCTAATGCTGGGAAAGATGGAGGGCAAGAGAAGAAGGGGAAGACAGAGAAGGAGGTGGCTGGATGGAGTCACTGAAGCAGCAGGAGTGAGCTTCAATGGACTCCAGAAGATGGTAGAGGACAGGAAGGCCTGGAGGAACGTTGTCCATGAGGTCGCGATGGGTCGGACACAACTTCTCAACTAACAACAACCTAGAGATCATCCTATGCCAAGAGGGATTTGGAACTCAGCACACTCGGCTACGGGTGGCCCGGTCTATTGTGGGGCGCTGGGTGCATGGGAAGGAGTGGGAAAATTCAACAGCGGTTGCGTTAATCACATGAACAACGTTTTTTGAAAATGCATAAGGCAGAACATGGGCAGAATCTGGGTTCCTGTATGACTGTTTGACAAACTGCCCATGTTACCTATTTTTGAAAGGGATGGGCCCGTGGGTGGATTCGGACTGCTTTACTAGAATCAGGACCGTGTTTAGAAAGGGCACAGGAGGAAAGGTATCAATTCCCACAAAGCTGAAGGAGATGTCAACACTTTGGAAGATAGATTAGGATCTTGACCAGTGGAACATCTTGCCTCCAGAAGCAGTTGATGCTCCATCACTGGAGGTTTTTAAGAAGAGACTGGACAGCCATTTGTCTCCTGCTTGAGCAGGAGGTTGGGCTAGAAGACCTCCAAGGTCCCTTCCAACTCTGCTATTCTGGCTTAAGTCCTGAGATCTGACTGATTGATCATATTAATCATAAAGATGGGGATTTTGTCTGGAATGGTATACACTAGAGCAGGGGTAGGCAACCTTGGTTCTTTTATGACTCGTGGACTTCAACTCCCAGTATTCCTGAGCCAGCCACGCTGAGGGGAAAGGGAGAGGTTTCCCAGCTGAGCCACGCTGGCTCAGGAATTCTGGGAGTTGAAGTCCACAAGTCATAAAAGAGCCAAGATTGCCTACCCCTGTCCTAAGTCCTCCTGTTCTAAGTGGTGAGCCTCCTAGACCAAGAGTAGGCAACCTTGGCTCTTTTATGACTCGTGGACTTCAACTCCCAGAATTCCTCAGCCAGCATGAGGGAAACTTTGGCCCCCTCATGACTCGTGGACTTCAACTCCCAGAATTCCTGAGCCAACATGGCTCAGCTTGGAAACCTCTCCCTTTCCCCTCAGCACGGCTGGCTCAGGAATTCTGGGAATTGAAGTCCACGAGTGATAAAAGAGCCAAGATTGCCTACCCCTGGACTAGAGTCTAGAAGACCTCCAAAGTCCCTTTCCAGCCCTACCTTTCTGTTCTATATTTTTCTTAAAAAGGGAGAGGGACATGGGAAACGCCCTGGGAGTTTGCCTACAATTGGAAAGGGAAGCAAGCAGGACACAAACGGTGCATTTACACGGGGGGGGGAGCTGGTTTAGCGCCACCCTCCCCACGAAAATAACCCTGCCTTGCCAAGATATTTTGGGGTAACAGCCTGGAAAAGAGCAGCTTCTGAGCTTTGACAAAGCCCCCCCCCCTTTTTTTTAAACAGCTGCCTTGTACCTGGGGGAGGGGGGGAGGCGAGACCAGCCCACTGCTCCCGATTCTGTCCATTCAGCAACAAGATGCTTTCTGGTTCAAGGGATGTTTTGCCTGGAGGCTGTCTGTCTCCCTCCCACAACCTCTGGCCCACGGGTTTGGGAGAAGTGACCATTCCTGAAAGCCGGCCAGCTGGAGGAGTGGGCTTGCTGAGAACGTGATATTTCCAGCCTCTTAATCTTCTCCGCTGCCTTTGCTTGGCTGGGTTGCTGGAACAAGGCTCAGTTGCTACTCAACGGAGAGACACACACCGGAAAAACACGGGATGCGGGAGCAGTGAGGACCTCCATCCTTCCTTCAGCCTCAGAGCTGGTTCTTGCAGGAACCTACGGGGGGGGGGGAGCAAAATGGCAAAGTCAACCTCGGGGCAGGGGGGGGGCACTTGCTCATGCTTTCCAAGGGGAGGGTCTGGGAGGGCGAAATAAGAGAAAGGAGACGGGACAAGGAGAGGGAGAGCTGACTTTAGGCTAGGGATGGAAGCATCTCTCAGCTCTTTCAAAAGAGCTTGGACTTTGCAGTGTTTCTCAACCTTGACCATTTTAAGGCGTGTGGACTTCAACTCCCAGAATTCCACAGCCAGCAATGCTGGCTGTGGAATTCTGGGAGTTGAAGTCCACACGCCTTAAAATGGTCAAGGTTGAGAAACACTGGCGCCCTTGGAGCAAAACAGGAGCTCCGACCCCCGTCGCCCATCCCAAACTCTGCTTTGTGGGATCCTTGGTGAGCTGTGAACTTGGTTTGTTTTCTTGCAGACCAGGAGTGTCAAACTCAATTTCAGCATTATGGTTGCTCTTGGGGGGCTGAGTGGGTGCGGCCTACTGGGTGGGCGTGGATGGAGTGGGTGTGGCCTACTGGGTGGGCATGGCCAGCTCTACATCATTCGCGTCAAGGGTGCCTGTGGGGGCCTGGGCAGGAGTGGGACAGATCTGAGGGTCTCTGGCAGAAGGGGGGGGGACCAGGGCAAATGCCCATCAAGCTGGATATGTGAAGTGGCGAGGGCCATGTGTTGGCCACTTCCAGGCAATGGTGCATTTCTTCATTCCTCACAAAGGGAGACACCTCCCCAGCATGCACCCAGGGGACGTGGCTGACATGGCAGGGGCTGGTTCCTCGCTGTTTCCAGCCAGCCTTGCGGAGCTAAGACTGAATGCCTTTCAGCATAGATGGCCACCACAAAATTGTACATTGGCTCCCGGCCGGCCTGGGCCAGGGCCAAGGCAGCGGGGGCCGTTCCCTCACTGTTTCCAGGATGGCTTCGCGGGCCGCATGAAACCACGTCGCGGGCCGCATCCGGCCCCCGGGCCTTGTGTTTGACATGTCTGTTGCAGACGTTTCATAACCCGTCTAGATAACGTCATCAGTGTTAGAAGGGGATGGAGTTTGCGCTCTGCTTGGAAGCTAATGGCTTCCCTGTCAGTGTTGGTGGGCCTGTTCTTGGTGGTTCCTTGAGCGGGCTGTTGATTACTGCTGGGTGGTTTGTCTGAGTTGCTAGTTCCATGATGGGGGTATTGTTTATTGCCTCAGGTTTCAAGAACAGTAAACAGTAAACATATCCAGGAATTGCCAGGTCAGACCAATAACCAAACCATAAACAACACCCAAGTCAAGAAACTACCAAGAAGAACATTGCTGACAGGGCAAGCCACTATATATGAACAGAAAACAAACCCCCCTCCTAGCACTGATGAGGTTACCTAGTTGGGCCATGAAATGTCTGCAAGAAAACAACTAAACTCAGAGACCACCAAGGACCCCACAGTCGTCGTCGTCCTCCTCCTCCTCCTCCTCCACTCCAAAAAACCCCCCTCCCTTCTAGCACTGATGATGTTACCTAATTGGGCCATGAAATGTCTGCAAGATTACAACCAGACTCTGAGAGAGCATCAAGAACCCCACAATTCAACCCTGAGCTTCAAATACTCCCTTCTCTTAAAATTTTGCTTTTTCTCCTAGTTGCATTAAAGCTATTTAGGCAGACCTCCCGCCTGCAAACCGGGGGAAGGAATCCCTGGGGTTGATCTGGGGCAATGGTACCCCTGAATGTGTGGAAAGGGGGTGGAAGGCTCTTGAGAACCCCAGAAGAGCCTTTAGCGCTGCACAGACCAGCCACCCGTGCCTCAGTCCCGCCTGCACTTTGCGCCACTCTGCTTCCGTCCAACGGAAACCCTGTGATGGATCCAGGCCATACAGACGAGATTTGGAAAGAGGGAGGGAAGGACATCCAGCAGGCCACCTACAGGTTTCCAGACGCTCCTCCAGGAAAGAGATCTGCTCGCTGAGCGAGTCTATTCGGTCCAGTTGCTGCATCACGTGGACCAGCAGGCCCTCTCCGGCGCCAGGCGGGTCCACCTTGAGGAAGGGTGCCAAAACGAGCTGGAACTTCTGCCAAGAAAGGGAGAAGCGTGACTCCCAGCTGCCTGCCAGGGTTTTTTTTTTTTTTTATGTATGAGATTTTTATCCTGCCTTTATTACCTTAGAGCTAACTCAGGGTGGTGAACATACCTAATAACTCCTTCTTCCTTCTGTTATCCTCACAACAATAACCCTGCGAGGTGGGCTGGGCTGAGACAGAGCAAGCGGCCCAAGGTCAACTTGCCAGCTTTCATGCCTAAGGTGGGATTAGAACCCACCGTCTCCTGGTTTCTAGCCAGGCGCTTTAAGCAGTAGACCGGGGGTAGGCAACCTTGGCTCTTTTATGACTCGTGGACTTCAACTCCCAGAATTCCTGAGCCAGCATGGGGGAACTATGGCCCCTTCATGACTGGGGGACTTCAACTCCCAGAAGTCCTGAGCTAGCATGGCTCAGCTTGGAAACCTCTCCCTGTCCCCTCAGCATGGCTGGCTCAGGAATTCTGGGAGTTGAAGTCCACGAGTCATAAAAGAGCCAAGGTTGCCTACTCCTGCCCTAGATAAACAAATTCCCCAAAGGCAAGCCACTTCCATATTGTAGCCAAGAAAAGAGAGTTGTGTGTTAAATTGGGTGGGGAGGTGGGTTGGACTAGATGACCTAAGAAGGCCCCTTCCAAATCTGTTATTCTGTTCTTGTTATTGTTGTTAGTTGCGAAGTCGTGTCCGACCCATCGCAACCCCATGTACAACGTTCCTCCAGGCCTTCCTGTCCTCTACCAACTTCTGGAGTCCATTGAAGCTCATACCTACTGCTTCAGTGACTCCATCCAGCCACCTCATTCTCCGTCATCCCGTTCTTCTATTGCCCTCAATCTTTCCCAGCATTAGGCCCTTCTCCAGTGAATCCTTCCTTCTCATTAAGTGGCCAAAGTATTTGAGTTTCCACTTCAGGATCTGGCCTTCTAAAGAGCAGTCAGGGTTGATCTCCTCCAGGACTGACCGGTTGGATCACCTTGCAGTCCAGGGGACTCGCAGGAGTCTTCTCCAGCACCAGAGTTCAAAGGCCTCCATTCTTTGGCGCTCAGCCTTTCTTATGGTCCAACTTTCACAGCCATACATTGCAACTGGGAAAACCATGGCCTTGACTATACGCACTTTTGTTGGCAGGGTGATGTCTCTGCTTTTTAGTATGCTGTCTAGATTTGCCATAGCTTTCCTCCCCAGGAGCGTCTTTTAATATCTTGGCTGCAGTCCCCATCTGAGGTGATCTTTGATCTACTCTACCGTAAATCATGAGCTGAGTATGAGTAGCAGCAGTAGGTGGCAGTATAGAGCTGCCTCGTTTAGAAAGAGCCAAGGAGAGAGTCAGCTCAGTTAGTCCTTGGAAAGGAGACCACCAAGACATCCCAAGAGAATCAACCAGGCGGGAGTGAAGCAAGGATCTCAAAAGAATCAACCACATACGCACCATTGCCAACTAAACTCCACAGCTGTGTTTGTGAAGACTCCAAAAGTGAAGCTCAACGTAGGAGTAACTAAAGTCCATCGTCTTAACTACTGAGCAGATGTTTCTCCCTGATCTCTGCCTGACCCTCTGGCTTTATGTGCACCTTAGTTTGGCTAGTCTAAAGAAAAGGGGTGACAGGATAGTAGTATTCCAGTATTTGAGGGGCTGCCACAAAGAAGAGGGGGTGAAATTATTCTCCAAAGCACCAGAGGGCAGGACAAGAAACCATGGTTGGGAACTAAGCAAGGAAAGAAGCAACCTGGAATTAAGGAGAAGCTTCCTAACAGCGAGGATAATTAACCAGTGGAACAGCTTGCCACCAGAAGTTGTGGGCGCTCCATCACTGAAGGTTTTTGAGAAGAGACTGGACATCCAACTGTCTGAGATGGTATAGGTTCTCCTGCTTGAGCAGGGGGGTGGACTAGAAGACCTCCAAGATCCCTTCCAGCTTTATTCTATTCTATTCTATTCTATTCTATTCTATTCTGTTCTATTCTATTCCTTATTCTATTCCTTATTCTATTCTATTCTATTCTATTCTATTCTGTTCTGTTCTGTTCTGTTCTGTTCTGTTCTGTTCTGTTCTATTCTATTCTATTCTATTCCTTAATTCTATTCTATTCTATTCTATTCTATTCTATTCTATTCTATTCTATTCTATTCTATTCCTTAATTCTATTCTATTCTATTCTATTCTATTCTATTCTATTCTATTCTATTCTATTCTATTCTATTCTATTCTATTCTATTCTATTCTATTCTATAATTCTATTCCATAATTCTATTCTATTCTAAATTCTATTCTATTCTATTCTATCCCCCCGACCAGCACCCCCATCCCTCGTCCAATTGGGGTTACTAGAAAGAGACTCACTTCTTCCAAAGCTGCCAACCGGCTTCTCAGCTCTCTCACTTCCTCTTGAACGGGAAGGTCGTCACTTCCTGCTGCACAAATTCACAACGAAACAGAAAAACATTTGTGAGAACCTGGTTAAGGACAGACCTCGCAGTGCTTCCAAGAAGGTTTGCATCTGCTGTTATTCTAGGACAGGGGTGGGCAACCTTGGCTCTTTTATGACTGATGGACTTCAACTCCCAGAATTCCTGAGCCAGCCATGCTGAGGGGAAAGGGAGAGGTTTCCAAGCTGAGCCAGGCTGGCTCAGGAATTCTGGGAGTTGAAGTCCACGAGTGATGAAGGGGCCATAGTTCCCATCCCATCCCATCCCACCCCACCCCACCCCACCCCACCCCACCCCACCCCACCCCACCCCACCCCATCCCATCCCATCCCATTCTATTCTATTCTATTCTATTCTATTCTATTCTATTCTATTCTATTCTATTCTATTCTAGTGATGATGGGGTTTTCTCCCTGTTGGGCAAAGACTGTGGAGATGTTAACCACGAAAGATCTGTCCGTGGAGAAATGGGTGGACATTTTATTCATTAGGATTCCAATCTATCTGACACTCTGTTTATCCAGGCAGGATTGCAAGTGCCACTGCCCTCGCAGAGTCCGTTTGGTGTGGAGCTGAGTTGTTGGCCTGGAAGCAGGGAAACCTGGGTTCAAGACCACCCTCATCCACAAAAGCTCACCTGGTGGCTTTAGCCGCTTGCTGGCTCCCCACCCCGCCTACCTTGCAAGCTTCTTTTTGGGTGGAACACTGTATCTTGAACTCCTGCATGAAAACCAAGCAAACATGTCCCAGCCTCTTAAAATCATTCTTCCCTTTCTTTGCCAAAGGGAGTGCAGGAAATCAGCCGTCGCTTAAGTAACTCTTCCCTGTTCACGGATCGAAGGCTGGCGGTGACACGGTGCTCCACTCTTCCTCTCCGGCGTAAAGGCTGGCCCTCTGCGCATTATTACTCACGGTACGAGTTTGAAGTGGCACAGCGCGTACCAAAAGTAATAATGAGCCGCGGTCAGCCCGGGCTGGTGGGGGTCTCCTCTTCCAGCTCGGGGTGCGACGTAGAGAAGGAAGGAAGGAAGGAAGGAAGGAAGGAAGGAAGGAAGGAAGGAAGGAAGGAAGGAAGGAAGGAAGGAAGGAACAAAGCAGGAGGTCCCTCTGAAGCCAGAGAAAGACCCTGGGGTGCTACAGGAAGGTGTGTGCAGCATTAAAAGCGATGTTTGGGAACTCCAGGTCAGTTGTGTGGGGTCAGGATTATGGACCAGGTAATCTTGGGTGTGCTGCACAAGCTGGGCTGACACCTTAATCTCGTCTAGCCAAGGAAAACTGAGTTCTCCCACAAGGCTGTACGTAGCATCTGAGAACATGCTTGGAGAAGTTGGACACCTCTGCATTATTTGGAAGCGACAAGAAGCAGTGCAGCCATTCCTCTTTGAGGACCGGGTGGGTCCACACCAAACGCCCTGGGGGTGAAGCCTCTAGTGCAGGGGTCTTCAGACTTGGCCCTTTTATGACTTGTGGACTTCAACTCCTAGAATTCCTCAGCCAGCGTGCACGCTGGCTGAGGAATTCTGGGAGTTGAAGTCCACAAGTCATAAAAGGGCCAAGTTTGAAGACCCCTGCTCTAGTCTAGAGTCATGTTTCTCAACCCCTGCCACTTTAAGATGGATGGACTTCAATTCCCAGAATTCCACAAAGCTGGCTGGGGAATTCTGGAAGCTGAAATCCACCCATCTTAAAGAGGCAGAGTTGAGAAAGACTGCTAGTATTTGCATCCAGAAAGCAGACTACAGTTGATGGATTAAAATGTAATCAAGTTGTACACTAGTCCAGCTAATGGATTCGTTTATCATACTGCGGAAACCCTGGAAAAATAAGCTATGGTTGCACCTCCCAAGAATTTAGGGAGCAAGAAATTCATCTTCTTATCCTACTTGGGGGGAGGCAGCTCCTGGTGAGACCTCTAACCCAAGCAATCTATCCACCTATCCACAGGTGAGGCACACCATTCTTGCATAATAAACTCAAGTTTTCATCAAGGCAGATTCTTCTTCTGGACCCTTAGTTTTGGTCAGCCAAAACAAGTCACTGGAAAGTAGCCAGAAGGAGGGCCCAAGTGGGAGGAGGAGGAGAAGAAGAAGAAGAAGGAGAAGAAGAAGAAGAAGAAGAAGAAGAAGAAGAAGAAGAAGAAGAAGAAGAAGAAGAAGAAGAAGAAGAAGAAGAAGAAGAAGAAGAAGAAGAAGAAGAAGAAGAAGAAGAAGAAGAAGAAGAAGAAGAAGAAATTCCATGCACATTCCACCTCAAAGTCACCTTTTGGCCTCTGCATTTTGTGGTGGGCAAGCCCACAGAGGCTGAATCCCTTCACCATCACCCTGCCAGACAAGGACTGAGCCAGCAAGCTCTGGTCTCACCTGCGGGAGCTGGGGTGGGGGGCACTTTCAGAGCCTGACACGATTGTCCATCCGCATGGAGCCCGTACCCTGGATGGCAAGCGCAGCGATAACTTCCGGCTGTGTTGATGCAAAGCTGGCTGCAGCCGTGTCTCCCGGCCGCACACTCGTCCACGTCTAAAAACAGAGGAGGAAGCTTTGAGCCAAGGGGATCCCTGCATGGCAGAAGCAGCATCCTTCCCAGGCCAGGTTAGTGCGTTTCGCGTTGCACACGTTTATAATAATACTGTCAGAATCCAATTATATTTCATCCCTATCGACTATGGAAAACCCCATTTCTGCCCTCTCTGGATTCTGTCATACGATGAAGGGGAAGGGGGGTGAACAAAGGAGCTTCACTTCCTTCAGTACATTTCAAAGGGACTGGATGTGGATACCACCAAAAGGACTAACCATAACAATGGGGCCATCAGCTTTCATCTACTCCTCTCTGAAGTCTCCCTTCCATCAGCAGTGAGGAAAAAGGGGGTGGAAATGTAACGCCTGGGATTGTCACTGGAAGGATGGTGGGTGGAGTAGGGTTACTAGAAACCCCTTAAAACCTTGAACCATAGGGCTTGGCCCCCAAGTCCTGTCTAGAACACCTGCAACCATCTTCTCTTAATAAAGATGCCTATTGGAAGAAATATTCCAAGAGTTCTGTCTTCCTAAGGTGCAAAGTGGGGTGGGGAGGAGGGGGAGGAATAACAGACATACAAGCTGCCAATCAAACCACATCACACTGTCACTCGAAATGGGCCTGTCTAAAAAATAAAAGAGCCTCTGAGCAAACAATATATCACAGGCTTGAGTTCTTTGTTTCCCAACTTCCCTTCAATTAACAAACTATAATTCATTGGAGTCTCGTGATGTGAGCCAGGCTCACGGTTCACAGCACCTTCCCACGTGCCAACTGCGAGCTGTGTGCTGCAGCTTCTCCAGAAGAGGAAACACCTGCAGCATCCAAAGGCCTTTACCTGTCTGGCAACATCTCCCGGTCCATCCAGGACAGGCGCAGTCATTTGGGAGCGAACATTTCCGGCTGGGCTGGCAGGGCGGTCGGCAAATAGGAGCTGCGGTGAGACAAACACACTGGCTGGATCATCAATCAATCAACCTGTGGTTTCATACAAGACCAGATGGAAACTGGAGTTTGGGGGGGGGGAGGCAGAAAGCCAAAACCAAAGAGAAGGCAAGGGCATCCCGCTTCCATCCAGACAGGTGGAAGTGGGCAGATCCAGGCTACACACCCCGCCATGATCTGCTATCTCTTAGGCGTGACCTGTTATCAGGACAGAGTTGCTAGCCTTGGCTGCTCCACGGGTTAGCTTAGCTGTCTGTGAAATTAACATGGTTGGAAAGTTGTAATTCGCTTTTCAAAGATGCCAGTGCCTGATCTGTGTGTGTTTTTTTAAAAAAATAATTTTTATTAAATATTTTTCTTAATATAAAATACCAATGAAAATGAAGATGAAGGGGAAAAGAGAAGGAAACAGAGTGAGGGAAAAACTCTAGAAAGAGTGCAGAGAAGAGCAACAAAGATAATCAGGGACTGGAGGCTAAAGCATATGCTGGAATTGGGTATGTCTAGTTTAACGAAGAGAAGGACGAGGGGGGACATGATAGCAGTGTTCCAATATCTCAGGGGCTGCCCCAAAGAAGAGGGAGTCAAGCTATTCTCCAAAGCGCCTGAAGGCAGGACAACAAGCAACGGATGGAAACTCATCAAGGAGAGAAGCAACCTAGAACTAAGGAGAAACTTCCTGACAATTAGAACAATTAACCAGTGGAACAACCTGCCTCCAGAAGCTGTGGGTGTTCCATCACTGAAGGTTTTAAGAAGAAGCTGGACATCCATTTGTCTGAAATGGTATAGGGTCTCCTGCCTGAGCAGGGGGTTAGACTAGATGACCTCCAAGATCCCTTCCAACTTCTTCTTCTTCTTCTTCTTCTTCTTCTTCTTCTTCTTCTTCTTCTTCTTCTTCTTCTTCTTCTTCTTCTTCTTCTTCTTCTTCTTCTTCTTCTTCTTCTTCTTCTTCTTCTTCTTCTTCTTCTTCTTCTTCTTCTTCTTCTTCTTCTTCTTCTTCTTCTTCTTCTTCTTCTTCTTCTTCTTCTTCTTCAACAGAAGATGGAGACTTCCAACTTTTTTCAGGGCATAGTAGAATTACTTCTACAAAAACAGTAAGTCCTAACCTTTTCTATAACAACCACCTACAAACTTAGTCAGAATTTCACTTTCATCTCTTTTGAGCAGAAAGTCCAGAAGTGGTTTCCACGTGGTCTGATATGCAGCTTCGAGAGGGGAAAAGGAGCTTCTATTTGCATCAAATAAATAAACCGAATTTTCAGCATCAGTTTTGCTTTTCCACACAGAGCCCCCACCGAGCAACCCAAGAGCCCCCCTCCTCCTCTAAGGACCCCAAAGGATTTTTTTGTTGTTGTTGTTAATATTTCACATAAAGAAAAGGCACCTGTGGGACATCTGAGCCTAGAGAAAGCGCTTCTCTGCTTCCATTCAGGACCGCAAACGTATTCCGGCCGGGAAATCTTCCGATAAGCCTGGCGATGGCTGACTTTATAGGTAGTTCTGCAAAAACCACAGAGCCCAAAAGGTGAACTTGGCGGATATTTTGAGCTTTCACAGGAGAAAAGCAGATGGGAAAGGGCCGGTTCCCCAGCCCAAATGTACTTATTTATACGTACATTGTAGATCAGTGGTTCTCAACCTGTGGGTCGGGACCCCATTTGGGGTCGAACGACCATTTCACGGGGGTCGCCAAACAACGCAGTCCGCCATTTCCCCCCCCCCTTTTCCTTAGCTGTGCTACTCCCTCTTATTCTATTGGCTTTTGAAAGCCAATAGAATAGACTCTCTTGAATAGAGTCTAATTCTATTGGCTTTCAAAAGCCAATAGGAATGGTCCAGGCTGTCTCTGCCCTGCTGAGCCCGCCCAAAGTCCCATTCTGCAAATGGTGCTGCACCAGTTGAGTACTCCTCGACTTACGACTGGTTGAGTAGTCCTCAACTTACGACCGGTTGGGGGGTCGCGGCATTAAAAAGGTTGAGAACCACTGTTGTAGAGGCAGCCCGACTCCCAGCATCTTTGGGAGGTTAGCGATTGGGAATAACATGCAAATGTCCTTGGAGATTCTCAGTCATCCAGTCACGATTGTCCCAAAGGGGCTTTTTCCAAAAAAGGCAACTGAACTTTCTTGTTTTTTCCTTGAAGACGTTCTTCTTCTCATCCAAGAAGCTTCTTCCGTTCTGAACTGAAGAAGCTTCGTAGATGAGAAGTGAAACGTCTTCAAAGGAAAACAAAAAGAAGTTCAGTTGCCTTTTGGAAAAAGCATCTTTGGGACAGCGACATGCAAAGAATGACTCCAAAAGCTACCTACAAGGAAAAAAAAGTCCCCCTTTCTCAGCCCAGCCCACTCCACAGGGTTGTTGTTGAGGGGAAAATAAGAAGGAGGCATACAGATGGTCCTTGAATTTTGAGCCCCAAATTTCCATTGCTAAGCAAGACAGTTGTTACGCGGGTTTCGCCTCATTTTACGACCTTTCCTGCCACAGTTGTTAAGTGGATCATGCCGTTGTTAAGTTAGTAACACAGTTGTTACTAGTTGGGAGTTGAAGTCCACACATCTTAAAGTTGACCAGGTTGAGAAACTAGATTGTGTGAAATTCCGCTTTCTGGGGGAGACGATAGCAGAGGAGGAAGCTAGCGTTGTGTTTCCCCCCCGACACACACACACAACATGTCCCACTGCCTTCAGATCAGCACTCAGCAGGGAACAAATCCAAACGAAAAGGAGAATGCAAGAGCAGATGCATTGCCTTCCTAATTTGATCCTCCCTCATCTTGTAGCAGGGAGTTCCAGGGGCTCATTGCAAGCCATTGAAAGCTATGGCAACTTCCACCTACGCCCTTCTAACAACCTGCTGTGGATTGTAGGTGGAAGCTGCTGTAGCCTTCAATGGCACGCAGCGAATCTCTGGAACTCCCCGCTACAGTGTGTGAGAGGCTCAAGATAGAAGCCCCGAAGATTCCCCTGGTTTCTGTCCGCCCTCTTGCCTGTATGTACTGCAGAGCCTATTTCCCGGACACAGTGTGAGGTAGGGCTGGTGGACCGGCTGGACACGGGAGGCGAGGTAGGACACGGTGTGGCTTCTCACCTCCATGGAGCACCCGCCACACCTGTGAGAAGCACAAAAGGACAACGCGGGGTCAGTCACAATGTTCTTTGCTCCTTGGCAATCTGATGCTTGGGAAGGACCACTTCATGCCAGGGGATGGCATGTCCAGAGGTCAGAAAAGTCAACAGAACACCCCTGATGGTGCAATTGACGGACCTCCAGTGTTTTATATGCAAGAAAAGTGTGAAACCCATAAAAAAAACAAGCGAAGTTTCAACACACTGGCGTGGCCGCTGCTTTGACTTATTTAGTTATTTATTGTGTCTTAAATGCAAATGGCAAATTGCAGCATACAGATATTAGAGGGGTATGCAATTTATGTTTATGAAATATACATGCAAAACTGTCAACACTATGATGATTTCACCTTAAAAGGTATGAAAAATAAAAGTACAATGGGAATTAGAATTTCAGAGATGTTGACGAGCATCAAATGGTTTGAATTTACAATTAAAGCTGGGTGTGGCATTAATAAACCACTGCAAAGTGCATTAAATTATAATATAATAAAGATTTCGTCGCTGTTATTCATAACTGTTAAAAAAAAAACCAAAAAATTAAAAAAAATGAATGGTATTATGTATGCCTTTCCAATACATGATGTTAAGCAACGCAAATAGGTTGCCAAGTGCCAGGAATGCAATCACGTGACCGCAGAATCCTGCAATGGCTGTAAATGCAAGAACCAGTCACAAGTAACTTTTTGTCGCGCTGTCATAACCGCAAACATTTGATAAACAGGTCATAAATCAAGGACCCACCTATTTATCTTTCTTTGACCGTAGTCTGTAGAATTTATTTTAAAAATTAGCTATGTCTTTCCACTGCTTGAATGCTGAAATGGCCTTCCTTTTTTCAGAGCTAGAAGGGACCCTGGAGGTCTTGTAGTCCACCCCCCCCCGCTCAAGCAACGTCTGAAGGCAAAGCTGTTCCACTGGTTAATTGTCCTCACTGTTAGGAAGTTTCTCCTTAATTCCAGGTTGCTTCTCTCTTTGATCAGTTTCCAAGCGTTGTTTCTTCTCCTGCCCTCTGGTGCTTTGGAGAATAACATGACCCCCTCTTCCTTGTGGCAGTCCCTTAAATACTGGAATAATGCTATCATGTCTCCCCTATTTCTTCTTTTTAGACAAGTACCCAAACTGCAACCCAAAACCCACTAATTTATCGCTGGGCGCCAGGTGGGCGTGGCCCACTGGGTGGACGTGGCTGTGGTGGTCATGGCAGATTGGGTGGGTGTGGCCAAGGTGAGCGTGATCACCTCGATGTTGCTCGTGGGGAGGGACGCCTGTGGGGGCCGGGCAGGGTTGGGGGAGATCCAGGGGGTCTCTGTGGGGGAGATCCAGGGGGTCTTTGCGGGCTGAGGCAAGGCAAGGTGGGGGTGCCATTGTCACAGGGCAAGGCGAGGCAGGGGCCGGGGTGGCTGCTGCCTGAGACCATCGGCCCCTGCACACAGAGGCCAGCGAGCACATGGGTGCTGGGATGCATCTGGCCATGTGGGTCCTCAGTGAGTTAGCAGGCGGCTGGTTGAAGAGGGAGGGTTGCCATCTCCGGGGCATGGCGCATGTGCCCACAGAGAGGGCTCTGAGTGCCGCCTCTGGCACGCGTGCCCTAGGTTCGCCACCACTGGACTAGCCAAACCCAAGTCCTGCAGCCGTTCTTCATATGTTTTAATCCCCAGGCCTTTGATCATCTTAGTTGCTCTTCTCTGAACGTTTTGTCACAGCTACTCTCCAAAGCAGCAGAAGACTTGTCCCCTGGCCCGTGCTCATCTCCTAGGGTGGGTGGGGGCTCTTTTTGGACCACCCTGTTAATTTTGCAGAAAACCTTGAAAGTGCTTTGCTGCAATTCAGCCAGCAGTGCCTCTTCATTGGCTGAGGGGACTCACCTGGGGCTTGAGAAGCTCTCCACGCTGGTGGCTGCCAGGACCATGGCGAGCCCTGTCCAAAGCCAGCCCCCCCTTCTCATTCTCTTTTCCTTTGCTGGACCTTTTCACCACCGCAACGCCGTCGCATGAAGGACGGAGGGAGCGTTCTCACGAGCGGCTGCAACAGAGGTCAGTTCAGCGAGCAAGACTAAAAGCAGAAAGACCAAAATGAAGTGGAATGAAAAAAAAAGGAGCTTTAGCAGGTTCGATCGAATTATCATCAAAAAGAAAATTAAAAAAACGGCAACGAATTGCGCTGTCTTTGGAAACCAGCCGCCCTATTTCTCTTAAGTTTTGACTTAAGCGTATTGCACGTTGCAGATATTTACAATCTGGAGAGAATGTGAAGGGGTTGTGTAATTCCCAGGCATTTACACGTGGATAATCCTGCCAAAATGCCGTTTAAAATTTTGCACAATTATTTTCCTTGCCTTGCTTGACATTCCTGAGTGGAAAAGGAGCCAAAAATAGAACTATTTTTTAAATGAAGAGAAATAGTAACTTGGAATGTTTATTAGCAACAACATTTAGAACAGACTGCTGATACAGAGACCGTCTCCGTGTGAATCCTCACATTTGGATCCTGACTGCATGTGCAGGGTCCCAATGTCATCAGAGAAAATAACGTATTGAAAGGATTCAAGCAAAGATGACAGGCATCCTTCTGCAGAAATTCAGACATCATCCCCCTCCAGCAACAACTCCTGTTTTCGCTGCAATTCTCACAACCTCTTTTTGTCTTCCTGCTAAAAATGGAAGGCAGAATGGAAGCGGTTTTGAAGTGCCAGCACCGGGACCCCAAATATTTGCAAACCCATTCTCAAGTTAACAGCCACATATTTAAGCACTGAATCAATACATTCTAACAGGGGGCTTATCACACACACACGCACGCACGCACGCACGCACGCACGCACGCACACTAGTTATTATGAAACAATGCCGTTCCAAACATCTGCAAGCTATTAGTAGTTGTAGCTAACAATAGCGAAGCAAAAGATAAGAAAGCATCTGAATCTTTTCTCTTTGGTTTTGCTTGGAATCCTTAGCAATAATTCAACTCACCACACATTTTGTTTAAAATCAGACGAAAGGCAGGCCCCAAGAGCCCCAAGGAGGAAAAATGAGCTTTTAAGAAGGAGATCCCACGCAACCAGCCCCTGCTGCAAGATGAACCAGAAAGAAAAGGAATTTTTGTACCCAGAAATCTTTCCTCAGGATCACAAGCCCTGCTGGTCACCCCAGAAGTCGACCCCACTCAGATCAAGGAGTTGGCTTCTAATGCTGTCCTGGACCACAGCCCCAGGCAGAATCCTACCTATTCACCCTTGGCAGAATTGCATCCCTGAAGTAAACACATTTATCGGCAGGGGAGAATAACTGTAGCACAGGATTGAGATGAGGGATCTTTGGTGCTGTCATCATTTACTTATTTATTTTCGAGAATTGATGTAGCTGCCTACTCGCTCACAGTGACTCTAGGCCAGGGGTGTCAAACTCGCAACGTCACGTGATGTGTCGCGACGTATCGCGACTTTTTTGCCGTGGCCGGCAATGGAGAGGTGGGCGCGGTTTCGCTATGATGCATCCGACCCGCGGGCCGGCAGTTTGACACCCCTGCTCTAGGTGGCTTACAGACAATAAAAATAGAACGTAGAAAAAATTAAAAATAATTAATAAAATAATAACCGATAGCACACTCTCAAATCAGCCACTTCATGGGCTCCATCCTGCTCTGGGTTTCCCATGCTCGCTGGCAGAACCAGGTCTTCAGGGCCTTCTGAAAGTGTCTGGGGGGGGGGCAGTCTAATTTCCGGAGGAATGGTGTTCCAGAGGAAGGGAGCCACCACGGTGAAGACCCTTCTTCTGGGTCCCGCCAGATGTACCTCCTTACGGGACGGGACCCACAACATTCCTTGCCTGGGTCAGGTGGATGTGACCGGCAAGAGACGGTCCCTCAGATAACCTGGTCCAGGGGTAGGCAACCTGGGCTCTTTTATGACTCGTGGACTTCAACTCCCAGAATTCCTGAACCAGCCATAAAAGAGCCAAGGTTGCCTACCCCTGATTTAGGCTAAAAATGGTTCAGTGTCACTTGTGGGTTCTCCCAAGGATGCTTTTTTTTTCCCCACAAGGCAGCCTGCCACTGCCTGTTCAACAAGCCAAATCATAAATCTATGATATCTGTCAGAACAAGTCCGTGTAGGCAGCTGGGCTCCCACCGTGAGCTAAACCACAGACTTCTGGACTGTGAGTTATTTCATTTTTAAAACTTTTCACTGGGGACGTTTTGAATGTAAGTAACTGAGAATCTTTTTGACTGCGGCGGCATGAAAATATGCTTAATGAATAAAACTGGCCGAGTTCACACACGGCACCACGTTAACGTTTGCTGCAGTGATAAGTTTGTTGAACACACCGGAATGGCTGGTTATCCTGCTAAACTCATCAAATCATGATCTAGATCAGGGGTGGGGAACCTTGGCTCTTTTATGACTCGTGGACTTCAACTCCCAGAATTCCTGAGCCAGCGTGGCTCAGCTTGAAAACTCTCTCTTTCCCCTCAGCATGGCTGGCTCAGGAATTCTGGGAGTTGAAGTCCACGAGTCATAAAAGAGCCAAGGTTGCCTACCCCTGTGCTAGGTCATAAACCATGATTAACAGGCTGCAGAGATTGAATTCACACACATGGCTGAGCCAGAGTTGCCACTGTGGCCTCTAGTGCGATGACCAAAGCTTTACATGCACACAAACAAGCCTGAGACATACGGAAGTATGAAATACATATACAGGCAGTCCTCAACTTGTAACAGTTCATTTAGTGACCGTTTGAAGTTACAACGTAACTGGAAAAAAGCGACTTATAAGCGTTTTTCGCACTTACGACCACTGCCGCCTCCCCAGGGTTATGTGATGAACATTCGGATGTTTCGGAACTGGTTCATATTTATGACAGTTGCAGGGTCCTGGGATCAGGGGATCCCCTTGGGGGACCTTCTGACAAGTAAGGGGAAGCCAGATTCACTTAATAACCATGTTACTATCTTAAGCACTGCAGTGATTCACTTAACTATGGCAAGAAAGGTCAGAAAATGGGGCCAAAACTCACTTAACAACTTTTTACCTTCGCCCTCATTAGAAACACCACTAGAATAGAATAGAATTGGAACTGGAATAGAAACAGGAATAGAATAGAATAGAAAAGAATAGAATAGAATAGAATAGAATAGAATAGAATAGAATAGAATAGAATAGAATAGAAATTGGAACTGGAATTGGACTTGGAATTGGAATTGGAATAGGAATAGAATAGAAATAGGAATATAATTGGAATAGGAATAGAATTAGAATAGAAACAGGAACAGAACAGAACAGAACAGAATAGAATAGAACGGAATTGGAATTGGAATAGAAACAGGAATAGAATAGAATAGAATAGAATAGGAATAGAAATTGGAATTGGAACTGGAATTGGAATAGAATAGAAATAGGAATATAATTGGAATAGGAACAGAATTAGAATAGAAACAGGAATAGAACAGAATAGAATAGAATAGAATAGAATAGAATAGAATAGAATAGAATAGAATAGAATAGAAAAGAAAAGAAATTGGAATTGGAATAGAATAGAAATAGGAATATAATTGGAATAGGAATAGAATTAGAATAGAAACAGGAACAGAACAGAACAGAACAGAATAGAATAGAACGGAATTGGAATTGGAATAGAAACAGGAATAGAATAGAATAGAATAGAATAGGAATAGAAATTGGAATTGGAACTGGAATTGGAATAGAATAGAAATAGGAATATAATTGGAATAGGAACAGAATTAGAATAGAAACAGGAATAGAACAGAATAGAATAGAATAGAATAGAATAGAATAGAATAGAAAAGAAAAGAAATTGGAATTGGAATAGAATAGAAATAGGAATAGAATTGGAATAGGAATAGAATTAGAATAGAAACAGGAATAGAATAGAATAGAATAGAATCTTTATTGAGAAAGAATATAACAGAGTAGAGTAGAGTAGAGTAGAATAGAATAGAATCTTGATTGAGAATAGAATAGAATAGAATAGAATAGAATAGAATAGAATAGAACACAACAACAGAGTTGGAAGGGACCTTGGAGATCTTCTAGTCCAACCCCCTGCTCAGGCAGGAAACTAATTTTCAACTGCCCGTTCATTAATGTCCGCCCTGCGCGACCTCAGCTCAATTCTCTCCCTGGGCAGGTCGGGAGCCTCGGGCACGTCCGAGCCAAACCGACCCCGGCAGCTCCGAAGCGGCCTGGGCAAAAAACAAACCAAAACTTTGCTCTCCCACGCTCGGCTGGGCTGGGCTGCGCGGCCCGTCTCCGCCACTAGGGGGCGCCGCTCCTCGAGGTGACTTTCTTAGACCTTGAGTTGCCAAACTGGAGTGCGAGGACCGCGTCCCGTGCAAAGGGGACGGTGGGCTTTCTCCCCAAGCCCGCGAGCCATAGGTAAAGAAACCCCGGCGAGCCAAGCCCCCCCCCCGTCTCGAAAGAGCCCCCCCTCCGGAGACCTCTCTCTCTCTTCCCCAGGGCCCCCCCCCGGCGTCCCATTGTCTCAGCATCCCCCCCCCCGCGCGCTCAGCCTGCTTCCAGCCGGAGTTCCTGGCCAGCCACGGGCTACTTGCTGCTGGCTGGATTCAGGCTCTAGCCAGACCCCTCTCTTCCCCCTCCCCGCATTCCAACCTGGCTCTCGTTCGCCCAAAGGGGATTTGGGGAGGGGGCGGCAGGCAGGGGGTCTCACCTCGGCTGGCGACGCGCTTGCCCGGCTCTGACCTCCCCACTGCAGACGGCGGGACCTCCCCCCAAGTGATCGGTCCCCCCCTCCACCCGCTGCGCCCGGCCCGGGGTGGTGGTGGGCTCGTCTCTTTCTCTCCCCCCCCCCCCGGCTCCTGACCTCCAAGGATGCGCCCGCCCAGTTGGTGCTGCTCTCAATTGCAAGAAAGAAACGGGTCTTCCTCGTCGTTCCCCCCCCTCCCCGCTTTTCCTTCCAAAAAGGGAAGAAAGTAAAAAAAAAAACCTCGTTCCCCCCCCCTCCCCCGCCCGTAGCTTGGAGCCTTTCCGGGGAAGGCAAGCAAGAGGAGAAGCGGGTGTCTCCTGAACGCGGGAGAGCCAGCAACCCGGGTCAAGAAGGCAGCGGGGGTGGGGGGATGCTGCAAAGGCTTTGGAAGGGGTCTTGGCTCCACCCTCCTCTCCAGCTTTGGGGGTCCAGCCCCATTTGGAGAGAGGGGCTCCACCTGCAACCCGGAGCTCGCCTCCTTTTACAGGACCGAAGCCCTTTGCTTTCTGGCAGGAAGGTTTTCGTAGGTTTCCTGGTGGTCCCCCATCCCCCATTTTTTTTTTCCAAATCAGCCAAGTCCCAGTCGCTTCCTTTGGTACAGCTCATTTCCCAGACACCCCCAGGGTTTTCTTTTGCAACCATACAGGTGCTAAAGCAGGCACTTGGGGGGGGGAGTTCCTTCCCAAGGTAGCACCTAGCTGTAGGGTTTCCTGGTGGTCTCCCATCCACATACTCACCTGGTCCAACCGTGCTGTAAGGACCCCACCTCAATTTACTTCTTATGAAGACAGAACTGAAATATAATTGGATTCTGACACTTGCTGAATTTGGGTGAGAACCCTTTTTGCCCACGCTGGCTGGGGATGATGGGAGCTGAAGTTTAGCAGTTGCAGGGAGGGTGGATTAGAAATACAGAAATGCAATTCCTGGAAACCTCAAGGTTTTTTTTTTTAAATGGCCAGCAAAGAAAATAAACTAATTTCACCGACTTACCTTTTTCTGGCTTGGTTATTCATCATGAAACAGAATGTGTTCCTTTTGAGATGTTTTGATTTCTTATTGCTAGAGCAAAAAAACAAAAACAAAATAAAAGCACAGGTATTAATGGTGTCTATTTAGGACATGATGTTATCCAGTGTTTGACTGTTCCGGTCTTTACCACCTTAAGATGATGATGATGATGATGATGATGATGATGATGATAATAATAATAATAATAATAAAGTTGGATCAAGTCCAACCCCCTGCTCAGGCAGGAAACCCTATACCATTTCAGACAAATGGCTGTCCAGTCTCTTCATAATATAATAATAATAAAGTTGGAAGGGACCTTGGAGGTCATCTAGGCCAACCCCCTGCTCAGGCAGGAAACCCTATACCATTTCAGACAAATGGTGATGCTGGTTGAGTTTTCCAAGTTTCTAAATGCACAGGAGGTAACCAGCCATTTTTTGTTTATTCTTTTTTTTTTTTCTGGCTTTGCTTTCTCCAATTCAGTTCCTTCATATTTGCGGCCTTTCAGAAAAACCAATCCTATAAGTCCTGTCCTTTTCTTTGATCCCAATAAAATGTCATTTTACAGTCGGTGTTGAAACTGGGGGACTTCCCCCTAACTAAAGTAAGCTGAAAGCAGCGTATCCCGTCAGAAACGAGTAGCTAGGAATAATAAAAAAAAATCACATCCTTCTTATTAGAATTTTATTAGGCCAAAAAGTAACACAAATGTTCTCAAGAAAAATGGGGACAAGTTGTCTTGTATGTATCCTAACTTACAGCCTAAATGTTGGAGATGTGGTAGTTCTGATGCAACTTATTTTCATGTTTGGTGGACTTGTTAAAATATTAAGGCTTTTTGGATTATGATCTGATGGAACATTCAAAAGATTTTTAAAAGGAAGATAAAGTTTACTCCTCAACTATTTTTATTAGGGATTTTTGAGGATTTTGATGTTAAAGAAACTATTTTAATGCTGAATTTAATTACAGCAGCAAGGCTATTGATAGGTCAATATTGGAAGAAAGATTTGTTGCCTACTATAGAAGAATGGACACTTAAGGTTTCTAATTTAGCAGAAATGGCTAAAATTTCTGCTTATTTAAAGGATCATACACAAGAAAGATATATTATGGTATGGAGAAGATGGATAGATTATATTCAGATTAAATATGGAACTAAAAAGTTTCACTTATTTTATGATTAAATTTTAAATAATAATTGTTATTAATAGTAGTTTATAATGGAAATCATTTAGTTTATTTATTGTCATGGTTTTTTATAATTATTGTTTTAAAATAGATTTGTTTATAATATCATGATATTAAGGTTTAAGGGAGTTAAGGGTTAAGTATGAATTCAGTTATTGTATATTTTGTTAAATTTAATTAGATATTGTTTAATATGATTGTAATAATCCTGTATTCGGCTCTGGGAAGTGGGGGGGGGGGTAGGGGGGTGGGATTGGGGGGGTTAGTGGGTTTATTTTTTGTTAATTGTCAATAAAACTTTTTCAATTAAAAAAAAAAAAGAAAAATGGGGACAAGGAATCTGGGGGGAAAAGTGAGTGATATTTTAGCACATTTTAGCACTTTTCGTTTTCCATGTCTGACACCGCTCAGAATCCTTTGGGATTGGGGTGGATTTTAAATGCTTTGAGACAGTTGCAGCTTGCTAGATATAAGCTGCTGGCTGTGGGACAAAAGAAGGAAACCCAACAATTAACCCACAGCCGACACCAAGCACAACCTCAGAGGCAAAGGAATAAGAGATGCAGTACAGAGGCAGCCTTAAAACAATGGGGTCGGGCTGACCTTCCCAGCGAGTAAAAGGGATCTAATGTGTAGGTAGGGCAGGAAGAGGAACACTCTTACTCTCAGGTAAATGTGCAAAGAGAGCAAAAACAAATGTTTTAAGCCCGGAATGGAAAGTAGCAGACATGACTGGGAAGGAAGGCTGGAGAGATGAGGTCACGTCCAGAAACAAAAACGTTTTTCTTGGAAAAAGTGTGGAGCTGGAAAGGAGAAAAATGGGTTGGAACTGTCCCTTTTCTTCTCCCCGAAAACGCAGCTCTCCTGTCCAAGTTGCAGAAGGCCAGGTAGTTCCACCCAAGTCCCAAGGCAGAGGATTTTGGGCCCTTTCAATCCAGAGTCCTGCCAAAAACCCCAGCCTGCTGAACAGAACAGAACAGAACAGAATAGAATACAGAAGAATAGAATAGAACAGAATAGAATAGAACAGAACAGAACAGAACAACAGAATAGAATAGAGTAGAAAAGAATAGAATAGAAAATGGAACGGAACAGAACAGAATAGAATAGGGAATAGGGAATAGAATAGAATGAATAGAATAGAATAAGAAATAGAATAGAATAAGGAATAGACTAGACTAGACTAGAATAAGGAATAGAATAGAATAAGGAATAGAATAGAATAGAGTAGAATAGAATAGGGACTAGGGACTAGGGAATAGAATAGAATAAGGAATAGAATAGAATAGAATAGAACAGAATAAGGAATAAAATAGAATAAGGAATAGAACAGAATAAGGAACAGAACAGAATAGAATAGGGAATAGGGAATAGAATAGAATGAATAGAATAGAATAAGAAATAGAATAGAATAGAATAAGGAATAGACTAGACTAGACTAGACTAGAATAGAATAGAATAAGGAATAAAATAGAATAAGGAATAGAATAAAATAAGGAACAGAACAGAATAGAACAGGGAATAGGGAATAGAATAGAATAAGTAATAGAATAGAATAAGGAATAGAACAGAATAGAATAAGGAATAAAATAGAATAAGAAATAGAATAGAATAAGGAACAGAACAGAATAGAATAGGGAATAGGGAATAGAATAGAAACAGGAATAGAATAGAATAGAATAGAATAGAATAGAATAGAATAGAATAGAATAGAATAGAATAGAATAGAATGGTGGGAGCTATGTCGAAATTAGGTTGTGGATTCAAAATCCTTGGAGACAAACAGCATCCCAGGCAAATTCTCCCTGGACAAACAGTAGGACTGAGACCAAGCACGCAAGCATGTTTCCCAAGGCGAAGGAGAGGGTGCTGCTCCCCGAGCCCCATTTTTTTTCAGGGTATCCCGTACCATCAAGTCCCCAAAGGTGGGTTGGGACATGGAGGGCTGCTCCTAGATTATTGCACAGAAAAAGATTTCCCAGCTGTTTCACCGCAGACACTTTCTCCAGCCCGGCTGGCCACGTCTGGGAACACTGATCATCAGAACAATTAACCAGTGGAACAACCTGCCCCCAGAAGTTGTGGATGCACCGACACTGGAAGTTTTTAAGAAGAGACTGGACAGCCATTTGTCCCAAATGGTTTATAGGGTTTCCTGCCTGAGCAGGGGGCTGGACTAGAAGACCTTCCAAGGTCCCTTCCAACTTAATTAATTTAAAAAATAATTACTTCAAGGCAGCCGAGACAAGTCCAGAGTGGCAGCTGCCAAGCCATCTGAAGCACCCCTTAATGCAGCTCTGGGGACCTCACCTGCCCTTGTTCGTCCCCAGAATCTGAAGGGATTGGAAATTGGAACCAAATATCCCCCAAGCCAGAGCACAGATGGTGCCTGCATTCGCGGACGGCATAGCTTACTCAGTTCCTTCAGGACTTGGGATGTGGCGTGAACCTAGAAGATGGTTCACTTAGAAACCAGGATAAGCGTTTCGTGCCAGTCCAGCCCTGGCCTTCCCAATGAACCTGGGCCATCTCAGTTCACAGGCAGCCTTGGGTTCAAGAGTTTGGCTGCTCAAAATGTTTAAAAATATGTCAGATAGATGTTGGAAATGTAAACATAACATAGGCACGTCTTATCATATTTGGTGGCCATGTGGGAAGGCAAAGGCCTCTTGGAAAAGCATACATATGTGGTTAGAAAAAATATTGGGCGACCAAGTGGATTTTAAACCTGACCTTTTTTTTACTAGGCATTATGTCTGAAAAGATGAATGAGCAGAATTTATATTTAATTCTACATATTACCACAGCAGCAAGAATAATTTTTGCACAGTACTGGAAGAATGAAGGATTGCCATCAGAAGAAGAAATAATCACGGAAATATTGGAATGTGCAGAGATGGACAGACTAACTATGAGGCTGAAAGACAAAGAAGATACAGACTGTTATAAAATGTGGAATTTATTTTATTCTTGGTTAGAGAAAAGAATGAAGGATTAGGAAGTGAACACGTATTAGCTTAGCAAACACCAGACAACCTAGCCGAAGATTTACACCAGGGGTCCTCAACCTTGGCGACTTTAAGACTTGTGGACTTCAATTCCCAGCTTTAAGACTTGTGGACTTCAATTCCCAGCTTTGCTGGCTGAGGAATTCTGGGAGTTGAAGTCCACAAATCTTAAAAGTTGCCAAGGTTGAGCACCCCTGATTTACATGAAGACCCAACTGCAGCTAGGCAAATGGGAGTGGTATTCAGAGGAAAAGTGCACACAACCTGGCGCCCTTGATAGGTTCACAGCACACGCATAACAATCAGGTAAAGAAAGAGCAGCTGCATTTACATCAGCATGGTCAATTCAGGAATTCTCTCTCTCTCTCTCTCTCTGTGTGAACCCAGCCTGTGGAGCCTTGTATGCAAGCTAAAAGTGGCGTTCTTTCTGCAACCAGCCAAAATGTGTGATGTGAACCCAACCCAAATTGTTCTCAAGAGCCTCTCCTAGAGAGCAAATACATTCCACTAGATGCAGACCCCTCTCGCATGTCCTCACTTCAACACAGGAAGAGAGTTAACCAGCAAGGGAGACCCACCACTACATTGAAGTCCCCCAAAGCCCCACATCTTAGGAAGCTTGACCATCAACGCTCATACCTAGCTGGGATCTTCTCGCCTGCTCAGAGTGGTCCTCTGCGGTGGCCCCAGGACGGGGCTGACGCTGCCTGGCTTTCTCCACCAGCTCTCCTGGCCTTCTGCTGCCACCTGGCCAAAGATCTGCTGAGCTTTGCTTCTTCATGGTTCAAGGCCTCCCACCCCAGCTGGGGCTGACTCTGGGGTTTTTTTGCTCCGCTTCTCCTGTCCAAGTCACGAACAATGGCGGTCAGCAGCACTGATGGTCTCTTTGGAAGGGGAAGGGTGGCTTTTTATGTCCTCCTTCCTGTGTAAATCCAACCTGGGATGGACAATCCAGACAGGAAGCCCTGTGAATGTTGTTGCCTGATAAGGAGATGGGCGAGCAGAAACAAACACCCAACAGCTCAGCAGGGAATTTGGAATGAAACGGCCATCTTATGCCAAAAGGAAGAGGTGGCTGGGGGGGTTGGGGGGGGGAGAAGGGGCCAGATTCAATCAAGGGAAGGGCTCCGCATACAGAAGCCACTTTAGGAATGCCCGGTTTCCCCACTTGACTCAAGAGGAAGCCAGGAGACGCGGCCAGCTCTCTCCACCTGGGCTTCTATCTTGGTTTTTTTCCTAACCATCTTCTGGAAAATGGCAGGTCTCTGCCTCAGGGGCCATAGCTAGGGGGGGGTCTCTCTGGGGAAGGCTGCCTTAAATGGGGGTGCCCGCTTCAATGGGAGACTCCATTAGCAAAGCCCTTAAGTCACCAATGCCTGGGTTGGTGGAAGCTTAGTGCAGTGGTTCTCAACCTTTTTAATGCCGCAACCCCCAACCGGTCGTAAGTTGAGGACTACTCAACTGGTGCAGCACCGTTTGCAGAATGGGACTTTTGGCGGGCTCAGCAGGGCAGAGACGGCCTGGACAATTCCTGTTGGCTTTTGAAAGCCAATAGAATTAGACTCCATTCAAGAGAGTCTATTCTACTGGCTTTCAAAAGCCAATAGAATAAGAGGGAGTAGCACAGCCAAGGAAAAGGGGAAAAAAATGGTGGACTGCATTGTTTGGCGACCCCCGTGAAATGGTCGTTCGACCCCAAATGGGGTCCCGACCCACAGGTGGAGAACCACTGGCTTAGTGGATGGGAAGGAACCCATCCCTCACCTCACCAGCTTTCTCAACCTTACAAAATTCACGTTAAGTGGACTACAATTCCCAGAAGGCTGCCTGATGAATTCTGGGAGTTGAACTCCATACCCCTTGACGCTGCCAAGGCTGAGAAACTCTGTTGTAGACACAGTGTGTAGCTTAGTTGTATTTTCCCAGTTTGGATATCAAGAAACGAAGCACGGGGGCCCTGATCTGTTCTCTCATGCACACAAAGAGTCAGGGGTGTTTACAGGGTATGGTCAAAAAAGTCAAGGGGATGCCCTCAAGACTCCCCACTTAAAGAACAATCCTGGGTTGCACAAACAGAGGGACAGAAACAAAATCACGTGAAGTATGACTACCGCTTTATAAATCCTTAGTAAGACCCACTCCTAGAATACTGCATCCAGTTTTGGTCACCACATTACAAAAAAAGACGTTGAGAGTTTGGGAAAAAGTGCAAAGAAGAGCAACTGAGATGATCAAAGGCCTGGAGAATAAAACAAGTGAAGAACGGCTGCAGGATTTGGGAATGGCCAGTCTAGAGAAAAAGAAGGACTATGGGGGACATGACAGCAACATTCCAGTATTTGAGGGGCTGCCACAAGGAGGAGGGGGGTCAGTTTATTCTCCAAAGCACCAGAAGGCAAGACAAGAAACAATGGATGGAAACTAATCAAGGAGAGAAGCAACCTGGAATTAAGGAGAAACTTCCTAACAGCGAGGACAATTAACCGGTGGAACAGCTGGCCACCAGACGTTGTGGGTGCTTCATTATTGGAGGCTTTTAAGAAGAGACTGGACAGCCACCTGTCTGAAATGGTATAAGGTCTCCTGCTTGAGCAGGGGGTTGGACTAGAAGACCTCCAAAGTCCCTTCCAGCTCTATTGTGATTGATTAAACAGAGAAGTGCCAATTGCACCAATTTCTTGATACCCTTGTAAAGAAGCAGGTAAAGCAGGTGGATGGATGATGGTCCCATTTGGCTGCCAGATTCATAATTTGATCCTCCAAATATGGTCACTGATGATGAGGACTGCACATTTTGCAAATTTTTTAGTGATTAGTGAAAACCATGGTCCCCAACCTGGTACTTTTCCAGAACTGGAGGTTGCCAGTTCGGGGAACTGGATGAAAAATAATTTTCTCAAATGCCCGCAGAGCCTGAGGATAAATGCAAGCTAACTGCATCTCGGAAAACCACTTCCTGAGCAGTTGCGCAATTTCAGAGAAGCCAGAAATAAGAAAGAATTGCTTAGGCTGGGGAAACATCTTTCTTCCTTTCTCATGATACAAACTCTAGTGGAATATATATATATATATATCTTTCCATCTGACAGATAAGAGACACCCGTCGGTTTGCTGGGAGCTCAGAAAGCTCTGAAAAAGAAATAGACAAATATCCGTGGTTATTAACCTGTGCCGGGTAAACGGAGCCTCCATTTTCAGAAGCAGTCTACTGCTGAAATGCCTTACACAAATGCCTGCCGTGGTTAATAATAATAATAAAGTTGGAAGGAACTTTGGAGGTCCTCTAGTCCAACCCCCTGCTCAGGCAGGAAACCTTAAACCATTTCAGACAAATGGCTGTCCAGTCTCTTCTTAAAAACTTCCAGTGTTGGAGCATTCACCGCTTCTGGAGGCAGGTTGTTCCACTGGTTAATTGTTCTAACTATTAACTATTAGGTTGCTTCTGTCCTGGATTAGTTTCCATCCGTTGCTTCTTGTCCTGCCTTCAGGCGCTTTAGAGAATAGCTTGACTCCCTCTTCTTTGGGGCAGCCCCTGAGATACTGGAAGACTGCTATCCTGTCCCCCCTCATCCTTCTCTTCATCAGACTAGACATAATAATAATAATAATGATGATAAAGTTGGAAGGGACCTTGGAGGTCATGTAGTCCAAACCGCTGCTCAGGCAGGAAACCCTATACCATTTCAGACAAATGGCTGTCCAGTTTCTTCTTAAAAACTTCCAGAGTTGGAGCATTCACCGCTTCTGGAGGCAGGTTGTTCTACTGGTTAATTGTTCTAATTGTCAGGAAGTTTCTCCTTAGTTCTAGGTTGCTTCTCTCCTTGATGAGTTTCCATCCGTTGCTTCTTGTCCTGCCTTCAGACGCTTTGGAAAATAGCTTGACTCCCTCTTCTTTGGGGCAGCCCCTGAGATACTGGAAGACTGCTATTGTCCTTCTCTTCATTAAACTAGACATACCCAATTCCAGCAACCGTTCCTTATATGTTTTAGCCTCCAGTCCCCTAATCATCTTTGTTGCTCTTCTCTGTCCTCTTTCTAGAGTCTCAGCATCTTTTTTACATCGTGGTTAGCTGGACCAGATCGCCTGGCCCAAAAGGCCACTGCAATTTGGCTTTCAGGGACACGGATGCAAAAGTGGAGTTTATACAAATCACAGGGATTGACAACTGGACTGGGAAGGATAATTTGCAACACAAAGGGCAGCCTCAGTCCAGCAAATTGAGCCCGATTGCTCATTCCCTTCCCAGTTGGGCCAAAGTCATCATGGTCAGAACAATGGAGAGACAAACTTGCCAGGCCAGTTTGGCCCCAGACTACTGGCTGAATGTGTGGGGCAGCCCACCATTCTTCCAGGGTCCATAAATCCCCACCCCGCTGCTCGCCAACTTGGTTGGATTTCCCGGCGCCCCCCAATTCTCAAGAAAGCTTGGGCTTCCAGGGACACCCTGGGGGTGGGAAGTGGAGGAGAAGTGGAGGAGGGAAGTTGGAGTCCTAGTGGATGGTCACTTAAATGTGGGCCAGCCAAAAAAGCCAACACAATCTTAGGTTGCATTAAGAGAGGGACAGAATCAAGATCACCTGAAGGGTTAATGCCGCTTTTTAAAGCCTTAGTAAGGCCACACCTGGAATGCTGCATCCAGTTTTGGTCAACACCTTATAAAAAAAAGATGCTGAGGCTTTGGAAAAAGTGCAGAGGAGAGCAACTAAGATGATCAAAAGCCTGGAGACTAAAACATAGGAAGAACGGCTGCGGGATTTGGGAATGGCCAGTCTAGAGAAAAGAAGGACTAGGGGGGGATGTGAAAGGGGCATTTCAGTATTTGAGGGGCTGCCAGAAAGGAAAGGGGTTCAATTTATTTTCCAAAGCGCCAGGACAAGAAACAATGAATGGAGACTAACCAAGGAGAGAAACAGCCTGGAATTAAGGAGAAACTTCCTAACAGTGAGGACAATTAACCAGTGGAAGAACTTGCCGTTAGAAGTTGTGGGTGCTCCATCACTGGAGGTTTTTAAGAAGAGACTGGACAGCCATCTGTCTGAAATGGTGTAGGGTCTCTTGCTTGAGCAGGGGGCTGGACTAGAAGACCTCCAAGGTCCCGTCCAGCTGTATTCTGATTAGTTAATTAGAAGACCTGGGCTTGCAGAGCTTCCTTTATACCAGTGGTTCTCAACCTGTGGGTCGGGACCCCATTTGGGGCCGAGCGACCATTTCACGGGGGACGCCAAACAACGCAGTTTGCCATTTTTTCCCCTTTTCCTTAGCTGTGCTACTCCCTTTTATTCTATTGGCTTTTGAAAGCCAATAGAATAGACTCTTTTGAATAGAGTCTAATTCTATTGGCTTTCCAAAGCCAACAGGAATTGTCCAGGCTGTCTCGGCCCTGCTGAGCCCGCCAAAAGTCCCATTCTGCAAAGGGTGCTGCACCAGTTGAGTAGTCCTCGACTTACGACCGGTTGAGTAGTCCTCGACTTACGACCGGTTGGGGGGTCGTGGCATGAAAAAGGTTGAGAACCACTGCTTTAGATCCTATCTAGGGTTAGATTAACCCTTGCAATTCCATTGAAGTTGCTAGAAGAGAGAATCCAGGTGGGCAGCTATTTGTGCAAACTTGTTTTTATCCCGAGCCACAAAACAGCATTTCCCTCCTTCCAGTCCCCCCCCCACCCCCACCCCCTCCTCCTCCTCTGGTGCCCACAAATCCAGCATTTCACAATTCACACCAGCAGCAGCAATCTCTGTTTCCTTTGCCTCTCCGGAAACAGGAAGTGAATGCGAGAGGGAGATTGGAAGAACAATGGAAATCTCATCCTGGAGGAAGCAGGAACTGCGTCAGGAAAGCAAGAGCGCTTTGTTGGGAAGGGAAAGAGGCGGTGACCTTTGCACCGAAGAACTGGG